GGAGGTTAAAAAAAAATTTATCTGAGAGGTTAGGGCAGGGGACTCTGCACTGATGAGTCCACCAATGCGTGATTCTGGCGCACACCAAAATTTGAGAACGCTGCCGATGAAGCTCTTCAAGGATAATGAGTTGTTATAAACTATTTTGACAGGCTATGACAAAGTATAAAAGTTTAACATTTCTTGAGCTCCTCATTCTGTGGTAGTTAGTACCTCAAGTTCATCTTATTCAGTGTAACTACAGTTATCTGAGGTAGGTACTATGATCACCATTAAAGAGGAGAAAAGCAAAGTTTAGAGAAGTTCAGAGGATTACAAGGCCAGAGGGACAGAGTCAGAGCCAGCTTCCCCTGATAGCAGAGACTGCATCCTTACCAGCATGCAGCACTGTATGTTAGAATGTCATAAATCAATAGAACAGAAATCTTTTAAGTATTTGCGGAAGGTCAAACTGAAGAGCATGTTTTATTAACATTTGAATTCAAGTGAAATAAGAACTTAATGACAAAGTTGAAGAGCGACTAGGAATAAAAGCATACTAGGGGTTAAAACTGTGGTTCAGCTGCTTGGCCAAGAAAGCAGCCTCTCGGGATACTTTAGTCTTGGTTCTGTCCCATTTACCAAAATGATCCTGAGAAAATCATGGAATCCTTTTGGGCATTGCTTTTTTTTTTTAATCTTACTTTATTTTTATTTTTTAAATTTTAAATCTGTTACAGGGTATGTGCACTTATCAGAAGGAGAGAAAGACAAAGTGAGAAAGTACCCCATAGGGGGGATGCCAATGCTGCAGTCCCTTCTCCATTCTCTTCTCAGAATTTTGACCATGTACACCTATGTTCCTGGTGTGTTTTTCAAGCTACTGGGTCCCGGACTTGAACTTTACAATTGGCTATGTGTGACCTGGTCACCTTAACTGCCACACCACTGGCTGGACATTACATTTTCATTTTCTTTTTTTTTTTTTTAAAAAGAAGTTTTTGCTATAGGGCGCATGTGTTTGCCAGAAAGACAGAGAGAGACAGAGAGATACAAAGTGAGAAATCATCCCCCCCCGGAGGGGGATGGCCATGCCACAGTCTGTTCTCCATTCTCCTCTTGGGATCTTGGGCACACATGCACACACGCCCTGTGTGAGTTTAAGCCACTGGGTCTGGGACTCAAACCACGGTCGACTACATGGGAGTCCAGCGACATAGTCATTACGCCAACTGCTGGTCCCTGGACACTGCTCTTTGAAGAGTATATAGGCCATTCCCAAGGAGCCTTATGCAAACAATCCTTGATTCAAGGACTTACATGTTTATTTTTTTCTCCCAGCTGAGACACAGTTGTGTGTCGCTGTGCTCGGACTTTGTGTTGGACTAGAAATCGAACTGAGGTCTTATGTGGTCTCAGTTTGGATAGCACAGCATCTTATCCATGTGAGCCACTGTCCCTTATATGTACAGTTTTGTCTATGAATTTGGCTGAGTAATTTGCAGTAGAGTTAAAATGAAATTCAGAAGCCCCAGCTTTAGTTTTTTATAAAGTTCAGGATTCAACCAACTTTTTCTGCAAGTAACCAGATAGTAAATATCTTAGATTTAGCCGGCTATACAATCTCAGTTGTAACTGTTCAACTTGACCATCTCCAGGAGGCAGACATGGATGCAAAAATTAAGGAATGAGGCTGTGTTCCAATAAAACTTTATTTATGGACACTAAAATTTGTATCTCATGACTTTTTTACATGTTTTATATATATATGTGTTTTTGCCCTCCTTAACCATTAAAATAACGTAAACCTATTTAGCCGATGGATCTTAGAAAAACAGGAGCAAGTTGGATTTGGCTCATTCCCGACCATGGTTTGTCAACATCTGCTTTAGCTCATTTGCATATAAGGTAGATTTACATATAAGATTCCTTTTTAAAAATAAGTTTTTGTTAAATTTAATGGAAATAATCCTAATTGGTAGATGCTTTTGAGATGTTAGAGTAAGTGCCTGATTATTTAATTCCTCCTCTACTGAGAAGAGGCTGAAATAAAATCGTGGGGTCATGGGGACCAGAATTGACATGACGCAGTTTTATCCATGATGTAATTTATTAAATTTTATATAAAAGAATTTAAGTAGAGAAAATGGTTTTGAAACTGAAATTAGTCTTTTACTGGATTTATATATAAAATCTAAAGCCTTTTTTTTTTACTGTAAGATTAAGTGCATTTTGTTCCTGGGACCCATAGTCCATTTCCATTATGAGATTAAAAAGTAACATTAGAACAGATTGTTTATTGGATGACAAATCTTTTTTAAAAATTTAACTTATTTTATAAAATATATCTATAGCTTAAAAATATCAGTATTTTATGTATTAGAAAAATGGTGTATTCCTGTTTTTATCCTCCCATGTCCACTTCTTTCACAGATGTAGTTACTTAACAGCAATTTTTTTGTTGTTGTTTTGTTTACTTCTCTTTCTAAAATGTCATGCTTATATGGCTGTCGGTTAATTTTTCAGTTTGAAACATCCATTGGCTTTTGACTTTAGATTGTGGGGTTTATTTTTAAATTTGTAAACATTTTTTAAAGAGATTATTTGCTATAGGATGGATGTGCTTGCTGGAGAGACAAAGACAGAGTAAGAAATCATCCCCCAGGAAGGATGGACAAGCCACAATCCCTTC